AGTGTCAGTGAATATTATTTTTGGAGTCACAGTTTATTGCTAAAGAATCAGTTAGCTCACTCAGACCAGTTGAAATATCCAAAATAACATCCACTCCAGGGATACAAATTCAGAATACGCAGAAGAATGCTGTTTTATTATAGGCGGTTTTCATATATTGTATTATCCGAGTTGCACAGTGTATAAACTGAAACATTGAGATCAAAAGTGCCGACGCAGAGTGAGCGATCTGATTCTTTAGCTGTAAACTGTGTCACAGGGTTCAAAATGGCCGCACCCTATGTTGGGCGTGTCGGACCTCTCTCTTGCCTCGTATAGTAATCAAAGTATGTGGTTTACACTGGACTAAACAACTGTCAGACATAAATCTCATGCAATAAATGTCAGATGTAAACGTACCTTAGATAAAAAACGTTAATTTTCTTGCGTGGTTAACGGCGGCACATCATTACCAATTCAATATTATGGTCAGATGAGAGTCGATTTCATAACAACGAAATAGTGAATCGTCATAATTGTCATTACAGGGGTCCTATGCGCTGGTTCAGTGTGATGTCATTTTGGTTCCACTGACATTTAATTCTAACCAAACTTTTAACATAAACATCAATAAATTTGACGTATACGTTTTTACTGTTTTCAGTTTATTTCTAAATATTGTTTACAGGTCATAAAAAATAGTTTAAAGGTATGTAAATGGTAACTAAACGATTGAATATTTGATGCATGTTATCTACTTACTTTAGAAATATATTTATAAAAGTGAAGAAACGATATAATTTAGGTAAACAAAACGAACTCAAAAAATCTACTGTCACTTTAATTGTCAGTGGAACCATAAATACATCATCACTGAACTAGCGCATTCTCGAATGTCTATTAAAAATGTCGCATTCGTCATAATGTCTACTACTAATGTCTATCAAAATGTCGATCGACTGACACTATCCATATTCTCAAAGTAAAATCGACAATTTGTAATCGGTGACATATTTGGCGAATGGTAACATCTGGCATTACTTGAAGAATCCCTTAGTTATACAAATACTGCAAATATATCCCAAATATATGTCTTTTTGATAAATACTAATTAGAAAGTAGAGTAAATATAATCTTTTAACTAAAATTTCATAAGGGATTAAATAGAAAATTGGAAGTAAAATTTGGTAAGAGATTAAATAGTAAAAAGAAGAAATTATTATCACAATATAATATAATCTAAACATTACATAAAATGTCTGTGATATAATCTTTTTACCTGCAATTTGAAAAAATAGAACTATATAAATTTCTTAATAACATGTATTACATCTCTTTCATGGGCCGATTCCTTGAAGAGCAAAAAATGCCCTTTTAGCACATTGATGCTTTTTCCAAAGGTTATTTCGCATTTCTTATTCTCAAAGGCCCACAGACTGATGCCCACTGACTTAGGCATACTGAATGAGGCCCAGTGATTGAGGCCCGATGCCTAAACAAGAATCCACTGCCCGAACGAGGACCCACTGCCCAAACGAGGCCCGCTTCCTGAAAGAGGGCCCTCAGCTTGAACGAAGGTCTACCGGTCTTTTGCCGGTAGACCTTAGGTGAAATTATAAATAATCATTTCATATATTTGTACAATACTTATTTTCATTTCTCTTAAAAATAAATATAAACTGTCACTGTCACGACCCTCATGACATTATATTTAAAAAGGCATGCGACATTTCAATGTCGACTGGTTGAATACTATACGAGGCAAGAGAGAGGTCCGACACGCCCAACAAAGGGCGCGGCCGTTTTGTACCCTATGACACAGTTTACAGCTAAAGAATCAGATCGCTCACTCTGCGTCGGCACTTTTGATCTCAATATTTCAGTTTATACACTGTGCAACTCGGTTAATACAATATATGACAACCGCCTATAATAAAACAGCAGTCTTCTGCGTATCCTGAATTTGTATCCCTGGAGTGGATGTTATTTTGGAACTTTCAACTGGTCCGAGTGAACTAACTGATTCTTTAGCAATAAACTGTGACTTCAAAAATAATATTCACTGACACTGACAGCAGCAAGCAAAATATCAGGTGCGTTTTAATCATCCGCTTCTGCTTCCGGAATTGTCGGTTTAGTCGTTTTAACATGTCAGATTAAAACAAGAAAACCGACATTTCCGAAGCAGAAGCGGATGATTAAAACGCACCTATTAAAAATATTGCGCCAAGATATAGGCAACACGTAATAAGGGTTCAAAATGGCGGAGTTTTCTATCTCCTTTTAAAAGGCACTCAGAAAGCTGCGCAGTGCGACCATTCTCCAATCAAAGTATGTGGGTTGAATACCACTCGACTTTATGTCTAACAACAAATGTCGAATTCGACATTTCAGAATACGTTTTTGCGTTCTTGTCCAACATATCATCAATGTCGCGTGTGACATTTAGAAATAGACATTCGAGAATAAGGCCCCAGGGGGCACATAAGAAAATCAAAGTATGTGCCAGGGGGTCTATTCTCAAACACTGACATATTTTGTCGCATGCGAGATTTTTACATTGTCGAACAAAAAACGTAATTTGTTATTCCCGAATGTCGCATTCGAAAATTTTCGATAAATAAACTGTAGACAATTGTAGAGTGGTTTGAACACATACTTTGATTTTCTTTTACTATACGGAGAATGGTCGCACTGCGCAGCTTTCTGAGTGCCTTTTAAAAGGAGATAGAAAACTCCGCCATTTTGAACCCTTATTACGTGTTGCCTACATTCTTGGCGCAATATTTTTAATAGGTGCGTTTTAATCATCTGCTTCTGCTTCGGAAGTGTCGGTTTTCTTGTTTTAATCTGACAGGTTAAAATGACTAAACTGACAATTCCGGAAGCAGAAGCGGATGATTAAAACGCACCTGATATTTTGCTTGCTGCTGTCAGTGTCAGTGAATATTATTTTTGAAGTTACAGTTTATTGCTAAAGAATCAGTTAGCTCACTCGGACCAGTTGAAAGTTCTAAAATAACATCAACTCCAGGGATACAAATTCAGGATACGCAGAAGACTGCTGTTTTATTATAGGCGGTTGTCATATATTTTATTATCCGAGTTGCACAGTGTATAAACTGAAACATTGAGATCAAACGTGCCGACGCAGAGTGAGCGATCTGATTCTTTAGCTGTAAACTGTGTCACAGGGTTCAAAATGGCCGCGCCCTATGTTGGGCGTGTCGGACCTCTCTCTTGCCTCGTATAGTAATCAAAGTATGTGGGTTTGAAGCGATCGACAATTTCATGTCGAATGCCACATGAAATATTTGACAGGATTATTTTAGGTTAGTAGGTTATATCCCTTATTTCAGAATGGCAGCTTTATTGATAGCGATTGAAAATTTGGAAAACCAAGAAAATTATCAACGGCCTCGAAATAGAAGAGGAATATATCAAGATGCGTTCAGATTTTTATCGGACAGAAAATTTATAAAAAAATTTAGATTGAGTAAGGAATTAGTGCGTGAGCTAATTGTACTTCTAGGACCATTTGTGGTACAGGGACATCGCTCTTCTGCATTATCACTTGAAGAAAAGGTAAGTCAGTTACTTTTCTATGATATTAATAAATCAGTGTAACTATGTACCCTATACACTATTTTCCGATAATCTTTTATTATGTTCTCTAGGTTCTTGTAGCACTGCATTTCTACGCAACTGGATCTTACCAGGGTACCGTGGGAGACAGTAAATTTTTTGCATTGTCACAGTCATCAGTGAGCAGATGTGTAAATGAAATAACATTAGCTCTCAATGCTCCAGAGATTCTTACAAGATTCATTAAATTTCCCAGAAATATGAATGAGCTCAATGATATAAGAAACAGGTTTTACTTTATTTTGAATAAAAAAATTGGATGTGTACATAATTCAGTTCGTTTTAGATTTTACAACATTTTTGGAATGCCAGGAATTGTGGGATGTATTGATTGCACCCATGTGGCAATTGTACCTCCGAAAAAGCATGATCCATTGGCACCTGAACATATCTTTGTTAATAGAAAACAGTATCATTCCATAAATGTTCAGCTGGTAAGTTATAGGTAGGTGATAAATTGTTACTCTATTACCTACATTCTACATTTCAGATATGTGATGAAAATATGAAAATTATTCATGTTAATGCCAAATATCCTGGAAGCACCCATGATTCCTATATTTGGAATAACAGTAATGTGAAGGAATGTTTGGAACAACTCCATGGAAGAGGAATTGAGGGTTATTTTCTTCTGGGTAAAAATTTAAACTATGCAGTATGTCCATAAAGTAACGCATAAATTCACTATTAGCTGAAGCACACCCAGACTTAATCACATTTCTCTCACTTATGATTTATCTCATTCTTATATTTCGTTTTTAGGTGATTCTGGATATCCTCTTCGCCCATGGCTTATTACACCATTGGCTGACCCCACTACAGACGAAGAAAACAGATTCAATGAAGCACAAAAAAAGCAAGGTGCACTATAGAAAGGTGTAATGGTTTAATAAAAATGCGATTCAGGTGCTTACTGAAGCACAGAACATTGCATTATTCACCTAACAAATCATCATTGATTATAAATGATTGCATAGTGCTGCATAATATGTGTATTGAAAATAGAGTAGAACTACTACTAAATAGAGATGAACAATTAGAAGAAGTGGATTTTGGTCTTCTTCCTCATAATTATGAAAACGAAAATCCACAGAGGAACCCATTATTAACACAGGGTATAAGGCTACAGAGGAGGCTTATTAATTATTATAGGTAAATTAAACAATAAAATGTAACTAAATGACAATTTATTTTTTTATCGCATTATAATATTTTGAAATTAAACTGCTTTTTTTACCTATCCAACTATTTTAACTCAAAAGTAACATAAACTTTAAAAGTAGAACTAGAAAACAAAAAAACTAAAAAAAAAAAATTAACAAAACTTCAAAAACTAGAAAACAAATAATGATACTTCAGGTGCATAAACTTGAGTATTAAAAATTATTTCTTTGTTTAAAGAAATCCACCAGATTCTCTACCGCAACAACTTGTCTTTCAAGTAACTGAAGCTTTTTATCGTAATACTCCTTTTGCACATCTAGTGTACTGCGACTTACTTCAGCAAGAGTGGTTGCTGCAATAGCACTAGTACGTAACCGCTGACTAGCTACGGTTCTTTTGTTTTTTGAATTTGAGGATGACAAGGGCACAATATTTTCTTTTGAATAAATATGATCGTCAAGGACAATTTCATTTGCTTCACCTTGAACATATTCTTCACTCATGTCGGTCGGTTCATCCTTTTCATCAATGGATGCAAACTGAAAATCTATAGGTGTCTCATTTACATTCATATCACCAGTTATTGCAGTGGGTGCTATTGTGCTCAATATGAGTTCGTCCTGTTGTGTCATACTTCGTGTCAAGTGGTGGCCCACCGCCAGTACCTCTGGCATGTTTAACTTGATCGGACTTCTTTTTTTGCTTTAGATCTAAGATCTTGCCATGTCTGGAAATGAAAAATTAATAACTATCTGTTAACAATTAAGTAATTATTATTATTATTATTACCTTTTTCCATTGCTTCCATTCTTTAGAGGCACCTGGGGCAGAATTTAAAATTGAGGCAATATTTTGCCACTTACTTCTAGCATCTTTGAAAGAAAATGTTGCAGAAAATTTGCCAGATAAAAGTGGTTCATTTTCTTTTTCTCTCATCAAGTTGATGAGAGTTTCTTTTTGTGATTGGGTACAATAACTTTTTTTTTCTTCCACTGCCATCATTTATACCTCCGAGCAATTACTAATAGAGGGAGCGTGAAAACGAGTTTGTAGGCGATTGTTGTGTTAGCAACATCTGTAGAGGAAGTGAGGAAGCGGGCACAAGGGGGAAGGTAAACATCCTTCTTATTCAGTGGCGTATCATTTATCTATAAAAACACACATTCTCCAAACATTTTAATTGTAAAAAAAAAACTAAAAAATTTACTAATTTTACTATATTTAAAAAGAATACCGTCTTATATGTGTCTAATGCAGGAAATGAAACAAAATCACTGTAACGGTCTAATTTAAACCTTAAAATCAATTTAATTATAAATAAATACAGTAGCGACTAGTTTCGGCCTTACAGAAACATCTTCAGGTCTGTATACAATAATCTTTAATTATTATAATAGGTTGGTCACTTACGAATAACATTAAATAGTATAAACCACAAAAATGGATCCATATTGTAGCGTTACAGCATTATAGAATTAAAGCTGTGAAAATAAAAGAGCAGTGCAAACGTAACTAAAAATAAGAAAACTGAGTACGGAATCTACAAGAGATGAGAATGAACAATTACGAATGCATTTAAATTGCTCGGGATAACAAATAAAGCTGATAATGTAGTAGTATAGTCCCCGTCAAAGAAGGTCTAGATATGTTAAAGAGGACGGCGTTTTCTCTGTAAATCTGGAGAATGTAAGGATGAAGGGAAGACGAATCTTGCTGGCTCAGGTGTAAATGAAATTTTTTATTCTCTCTCACCGGCACCGTTTCGGCTTTATCTTCGAAGTTCATTTTTAAAAGGAAATAAAAGTAATCATTCATACAAGCATATAATAAAACAATATGAATTCATTATATTTAATAAGCTAATAAACGTTTGTTTCAATGAACAAAAACATATGGGAATATAAGAAATATATAAATAGATAAGATTAATATCAAAATCAATTTGAAAATACAACAGATAATGAAATGAAATAAATTAATACAAGTACAAATGGAAAGTTAATAACATACCTTCTAAAAGTAACACATTTTAAGTAGATATATGTTTAAAGAGTTTATTCCTGAACATAACTAATCTAACGTTTTTTCCTCTTTTAATATTATGAGGGTTTTTGTAGTTGAAATGAAAATTATAATTTATTTTGGTCCTAATAAAAATTTAAACATAGGTTATCAAAGAGTAAAATACATAATAAAACTTCATAATCTTAAATCGTTATCAAAAATTATTAATGATAAAACTTCAAACAATAATTAGATTCTTAAACAAATTTCTAGTTTTGCAAAAGACTTTTTTGCCTTCATCGGTTGCCTCTGTCACTTTTCTTTTAGTAGTTTCGAGGAGAATTTTCCTATGGAAACTAGTAGAACCATCAATTGATTGGTAAAATTTTGATATTTTGAGTCTGGTAAGTCTTGTTAAACTTTCTTCTTAGGAAGCTGTAACCTAATGGAGAACAAAAATTTAATGTTAGATCAAAAGCTTTTAAGTGAGAATTATATTTGCAAAGGCCGTTTTAATAATATATTCAAAAGTTCTTGGAATCGTTGTTAACAGAAACCTGCAAAAAATATATCATTTTATTCCTAAAATATAAGATATCACACAATGCACATTCATATAATATCATTGGGCTAGAAAAATACTAGGTAGGTACTGAGACAATTTAAAAAAAGTATTTCGAGAAACTCAACTTTTAATGTCATCATTGCACTTAACTTTTTTATTGCTAAATTATTAATACTGTCGTTTTGTGTAGTTCATTGTGATTTGTATAATATATATTGTAAAAACCTATCGTCAAAGTTAATGTGCCAAGTTTTTTTAATAATTATGTCCTTGTTATAGTAAAAACACATTTTTAAAGTTTTCTGGATTTATGCTTTAAATTATTGTACAATTGAACTGACTAATTTTGTGTTTAAGTAAAGGTATATCTCTTTTTTGTTATAACAGTCTTTGTATATTATTCTAACTTTTAAGATAATCAGAGAAAACAGTAAGACATCTTAATATATCCTATTTCACCAACAAAAATGTAGAATAATTAATCTCATATCAAACGAAAAAAGTCATTTTAGGATATCCTAATAGGTTTTAACTTAAAAACTAAATAAAATGTATATTGCAACTGTGTTTAAATAAATGAATGTTTTTATACCTGACTATAGTACCAGACAAACATTTTTTTAGATCATAATGATCTGCATAACTCAAAATAGTCAAAATCCACATTATTTAAGTTGTTCTAGTATTGTTTTAGCATAACGATGAAATTAAAAAAAACATGAATAATGTGATATTCTTGTTTAGTATTGTACTATATAATATAGTTCATTTGGTAGTGATTTAGAAGCAAATTATGTTCTATTTATAGAATAAAAAATCACTCATAATATCTAAATATTTATACCTATTTATATTTTGGACAGGAAGACTATTTTATGTTTTTGGCTCTGAATAGTTTTCTGAAGAATTTTAAAACCTTCCTTAGCTCTTTTGGGATATTCCATGCATATCTTAGAAGTTCATTTTGTTTAAACCTAAAACAAATTAAGTACAAAAAATGAAAATTTAAACAATACAAAAAATTAGTCTTTTAGATTATTTAAAAAAAGTGTCAACAAAAAAATGGCTATGCCTTTTTCCTTAAACATTCTTTTTGAAATAAACTTACTTGCTGTTTTAGTATTTTAGTAGCAGATGAATATAGTGTAGAAGTAGTGACAGGATTGATTATTATACTTCTTTCGTCGAAATCGCATTTTTCTTTAATATTTTCCTCCCCTGAGGTCTATAATAAAAATGTTCATTAGCATAAAAAGTTATTCAGGTGGTCACTTGTTGAATTCCTATATTTTGGAACCATGTATTTCTTTCTCATATCAAGAAAAGGAAACCTAAAAAAATAATAAACTTTACAAAGATGTGATATTAAAATAATAAGTAATTAACCTTTACTATAATCATTATGAGACAGACAGATGAAGACGAACTTAGCTGGAGTTTACTTGCTCTTAATTTTAATTTTTCGATAAGCAAATAAGAAAGTTTAATTGCAAATTAAAGGCGATTGCCTAATGCACCGCCTCTGATAATTAGGTTGTGTCTGTACTTACTTATGATATTATGTTGAAGAAGCATTTTCAACAGGCCTTTTACACATAACGCATGTTTTTACCATATTATTAGAGATAATAAATCTTAAATATACATTTACAACCCTTACAACGTTATAAATAATAATATTTTCCGTAAAATACAAATAAGAAATTGACATGTGTTAGAAAGTGTCAGAACTGGCGCTCACAGAACACTTCTGGCGCTGTCAAACTTGGCAACGCTGATTAAATAAGCCAATTACAGAAGAGGTATTTTCCCCCTCGGGGGGAGTAGATGATGCTAACAAAATTTAACGCGGGGAAGGGGGGAAGACTCCCTCTAGTAGTAATTGCTCGGAGATTTATACGTAATTAACATAACCTCCTTAAAACCCACCACACATGTCACAATGGCACAGAACTTATTTGAGAATAGTTCATTGGGTGTTGCCAGCTCATGCTATTCGACAAAATATGTCTCATACGATTTGGAAGACGAAACCAATTGAGAATAACACAATTTTAAGTTGTGCGACAATTTCCATCGACAAATGTCGAATTCGACACATTTTGTTCGACATTCGAGAATAGACCCCCTGGTCTCAAAATAATCCACACTGGATACGGGAGACTAACTTTCAAAGAATTTGGGGAATTAATGTTTGGTGTTGTATGATTGATTGATTTATATTCGGACCGAAATTCAATGAAGGTACCTTAACTGGGGATAATTATTTAAAATTTCTTCAAGACGATTTGTCTGTACTGTTGGAAGATCTGTCATTACATATTCGCGCCAACATGTACTTCCGGCAAGATGGAGCACCCGTATACAATTCTGGAGCGGTATCTGGTTATTTAAAACAATATTTTCCTAATCGATGGATTGGCACATACGGAGCAATACGATGGCCTGCAGGATCTCCCGATCTAACACCCTTAGATAATTTTTTATGGGGTTATTTAAAGGGAAGAGTGTACGAAACGCCTCTTGTAGATTCAGACGATCTGCAAAACAGAATAAGAAATGAGATTGGAGCACTTAATGTTGCTGCTAGAGTATTAAGAACTGTAACGTCTCGTGAACTTTTGTGTCGAGCCGAATGTTGCCTGGAACAACGACAGCATTTTGAATATTTTCTATATTTAAGATTTTGGTTTGTCGTGTTAACTGTGTCAAAATTATAATTTTATATTATAAACTGTACGTTAAATAAAAACTTTGCTATTTTTTAAAATCTGATTTATTTTCTGTTACTAAGTCATAATACAAAGTGTATTACCTCGTTGAAAAGGATATTTTACGTATAATTCAAATTTTAAATTAAATATACAGGGTGTCATTTAAAGGTTCGTTTCCGGTCAAACTGGAAGTGAATGAATATGGCTATTATATTGATTTTTGATGCAATTAGGTCTGTATAAACCGTTAAAAGTTTTGAATTAATTTTTTTTGAAACAATTGAGATATAGCGTTGGAACAATACAACTGAGACCTATAGATGATTATATTGAAAGTAAAGAAGTCCTTTTGATATATTTTTCTAATTTTGACATATAAAGTGACATTTTT